TAAACCTAGTCTCCAAAAATATTTTGAATATACGCAATAGAGGTTTATTAAAATACCTTCCGTAATGCAGGGGCCATTTTATTGGTGAGTGTCCCTGCAACTATCATGACATCAGCCTGTCTGGGACTGGCTCTGAACACGACACCAAACCGATCCATGTCATAACGTGGGGCGGCCATGTGCATCATCTCCACAGCACAACACGCCAGGCCAAAGGTCATGGGCCATAAGGAGCTCTGAAATACAAACACATTTAATGAAATGTTTACTTAATTACTTCAGAAAATGAATCATTTGTCTACCTTAAAACTAATGTAATTCCATTAAAAATAATTATTTTTAAGCATGTGTTTCTGCAACACTAGCGCCATCTAGCAATGGAATTACAAAAATAAAGCATATATTTTTAAACAACCTTGCAAGAACCCCTTTCACATGTCGTGCGAGAATCACAAACACAGATCTGGGTGCTTGTAAAGACGTGGCTCAAAAGTAGTTTATTTTCAATTAAAAGTCAAACATATTAGGAATATTTTTAAGATGCGTCATGATCAATGTTCCCTCTATTTTTTTTTTCTTGCTGAGCAAAACTTTTTTCTATTGGACGGACATTTTTCGCCACCTGCGCAAAAATATTCTCTATACCAGACCTGTACAGCATACGTAGAAACACAATGATCTCAACATTCAGTTGTAACTTTTAACTTGAATGTGCCATTTATATTTTATTTGACTTTTACAAAATCTTCTGCAGGACAGTTCAATTGTTTACAATAAAAGAATATAGTAAGAAAGAAAAGTAAGCTGTTACACTGAGATGGTTTAGAAAAACCATTAAGTGTTTTTGTACAGTCAAATAATTGTGCACAGGGGGCATTAAACCATCAAAGTTAAATGATTGTTTATTTTATTGCTTATGAATTTCCAATATTTTCTTTAGCAGGGGGTTTTAAACTTTTTAATGGCAATGAGCCCTAAACAATACCCTAGTGATATTTTTTTTTAGGCTTATAATATAATAAAATATAGGCCTAATATACTATAATATATATATATATATATATATATATATATATATAAAAATCACAAATTGAAGTATTTGAGATGGTATAATCAGTGTTGGGCAAGTTTACCAAAAAAGTAAAACTAGTCAAATTAAATCATTATAAAAGTAACTAATTACCAGGGAAAGTAACTATTGCGTTACTTTTTTTTTTTAAAGTTAAAATAGGCCTATGTCAAATAACTTGGATGTACCCAATATTGAATATGTTAAATTATTATTATTATTATTATAAAACATTGTACACTAATCTACTACACTATCGTAATGTTGCTGTGGGACAACGTAAGAGACACCTACAAAATGTAATATATTATTTTAAATATTATCATTACTATATGCACAGACCACAACTGGCCAACAAATAAGAATAAATTAAAAATAAATTATGCTTAAATGTACCAAAAATGCTGCAGGTTATTTTTTAGGTTTAGGTTTTTTTTTTAGGTTTATATTTTATTTGTATAACCATGTAAATTAATTAAAACGTTGCAGATGATACCAATAGGCTACAGAGATTATTATAATGCTGAAATTTGTAATTTCCATATTTTCCGCACTATAAGGCGCAGAGGATTATAAGGCGCATAAGATACTGCAGTCAAACGTTTGACTGGGTTTGCGTTATGCATCCACAAGATGTGCTAAAGGCTAAAAGGAATGTAGCGAGTGCGCGGCGCCGGAGGTGAGGCGTTTATTTAGTAAGCGTGAGCGCTCTGGGGCGGGCACGTAACTAACATTCGCAGCCTGACTCATATGAGTATTCAATGTGCGGCGGCTCGCTGACAACAAAAGCTGGCTGTTTTGAATGAGACGACCCGGTTACTGTGAACGGGGACGTGCGAGTTGTGCCTGTTCGTGTGTCTGTTAAGAGTGAGCGCTCGTGAGTGGGCACGTGATTTACATACATAACATGATTTATACGAGGTTGAACTGGCCGTGTGACAAAGCGGGCATGAGATGGACACGAGCGTGAGATTGTGGATATAATATATATAAATGCTTTATATATAATTTGTTTGTATATATGTAATTTTTATGTAATTTGTTTACATATTATATTATTATAATATAAAAACAAAGTGAAGCATTTAAATAGATCTAATAGCTAAATATTTTCAAGAAAAGGGAATATGAACTCTTTTATAGTAATCTAACCATGACTAAAACTCCACCACACACAAAAACATCGATTTAAACTAATGATGTATTTTGAGTTTGCATGCGGATGTGTAAGTGTTACCATTCTGTGTCCATCAACCGTTATTTCCACCAGTTTAATCAAACCACTCTTCTTTAAAACATTATGATGTGATTTTATTTCACATATCTTTTTGTTTCTCGTTGCCTCTCGTTTTGAGCTATTTTGTCCACACACAAATAAATGCACCCTTTGTGAGCATAAGGGACATTTTTGTAAATGTGTAAAGAGTTACGTACTCTGCGTGCCCAGTTGACCAGGTCATCCAGCTTTGTGATGACGTATTCACCCTTACTGCTGACCGCTGAAGCTGGTTTTGGGGCCAGAGCTGTGCTTTTCTCTCTGAACGGGACCAGACTGGAAAGAAGGGTGTGCTCAGTTAATATACTCAATGTAAAAGTTATTTCATAATTGCCCAGGATGCATGACATACAACCATAACAAAACCATTCATTTCACACCTTGAGGAGTTTTCATCCTTTTTGTCAGTGAGAGGAACCTTTTTATGAACAGCAAACGATGAAATAGCCCTATCAAAACAACATCAAGAAAAAAAGGGGTTACATTTGTATACATTATATATATATATATATATACACATCAAAATGAACGAATCTTTTTTGTGTCATTTGATTGATTCAACGAACGAAATGAACGAATTGGAAAAAGATTTGTTCATTTCGATGAACGAGTTTGAACAGGAGAGTCACGAATGTGCATCACAGAACAGAGCAAGGCGACCATTTGAGCTTATAAAACGTAAACTTTTTTTTTTTTTTTTTTTTAAATGAGCAATCGTTTTGCTTGATAAGACCCTTATTCATCGTCGGGAATCGTTTAAAGCCCTTTGAACAGTTTGCACTGGAACTGTCTTTTGGACCTTGAACCGTTTGGTTACCAGTAAAGCCCATTATATGGAGAAAAATCCTGGAATGTTTTCATCAAAAACCTTAATTTCTTTTCGACTGAAGAAAGAAAGACATGGACATCTTGGATGACATGGGGGTGAGTAAATTATCAGCAAAAGTTTTTTTTAAAGTAAACTACTACTGTAACATCACTGCAAAAAACATCTAATATAAAATCTATATTTATTCACCTAATATAATAATAGTAAGTTCTCTCCCTTGTGTCCCGCAAAATCTGATCTGCTGTCCTGCAATAGAGCAATATATAGCCAGGTCGGTGCAAATGTAGTTGCCGCAAATGTTTTGGAATGTTGAAGCTCTGAACGTTGCAAATTCACGTCACGACTGATGAGAATGGTTTTGACGCGAACTATTCGCTTTTTCGTTTCGCTTTTCTGTTACGCGGCTGGACTGGTGTGAAAGGGCCTTTAAGATTGATGTTTATGTGCAGAACACTTGTCAAACCCTCATTTTTTTTCTTTACCTTCTTTCAAACCAAAGTTACCAGGTAATGTAGAGCAATCATAAACACACATAAGATGTAGGGCTAGGCTAATAGACAAGAGTTTAAGAAATCTTAAATCCAAAACCAAAACTTACCTTAGATTAAAGAAGCCAAGGGCGGGAAGGCGGGGAACTGAAAAAAACAAAACAAAAAAAAAACCAACACATTATTTGCTGTCATCTTCAGCACATAAATGTATCTGGTTCAGTGTATATATATATATATATATATATATATATATATATATATCTGTCAGTCTAGTTGAATCCCAAGATAACAACATAAACAAACTTGCACATGATAGCAAAAAATAACAACACTAACAAAGAAATAAATAAATACTAGGCTATGGCTACAGCACTGCTCTCTATGCTATGTGGTTAAATATTTTTTAACGGCAAAAATATTTCAATAACGTAACTTCAATACTTTCAATACTTGAACATCATTTATAAGTATAAACTTCGTGACAGTGATTTCTGTTATTCACTGCATATTGCCTGAACAAAGGGTATTTTGATTGTATTATTCTAAAAGTAGTATAACTTATCTTTGATCAACTTCGATGTGTAAATAATGACTGAGTTGTCTGTTTGGTAACGTAGTCTCTGATCAAGTCATGTTGAGTAACAAGGTCACTCAGCGAGCAAGTCCTTCATAGCACGACATAATTAATTTACCAACTAAAGATACGCTGTAATTTAGTTACACTTAATGCACACAATCTATATGATGCAGTAATATTAATGCTGCGTTATGAGGAGGCTTAAAATCGTCTAGAACCCAGCTCGTTTACTCACCCATCAACGCCGCCATCTTTGCATAACACAACATAACATCCACTTCCGCTGGTAACCCGACTTCCGCCCTGTGTCAAACGAACACTTTTAAATCGAAAAAATAAATTAATTACAGCACTACACTGCCATAGTACCATATAATTCACATTTTTTAAATGCTATTATGTAAATTATACACAAAAATGTCATTCAATTATATGGTCTATATTAAAAATAATAGTGGTTAACAACATTTTGGGCCAAATATACAAAACAATTAAATAGTACAAAAAAGTGCAACAGGAATGGCTTGCTATTCGTTAATAAAGCTGTTAGTTGACAACATATGTATTTTTTTTTTTTATTGTATTAGGTCCATTCCTGGTATTCTGCCTTTTGTTCATCATAAAATGTACAAATTCAGTTCATAACAGTACAAAACTCAGTTTCTAAAATAAACAATTGTGCAGTCATGATAGGAGTGATGTAAAACATAAAAAAAAAAAATAAAAAAAAATAAATAAAAAAACATTCTGGTCAAGTTTAAGTAAATAAATTTCACCATTTATTAAACAAGATAAATGAAATGGAAGATCAAAAATGCCCACTCTGTTTGGGACAGATTTAGTTTGTTTACAACATTGAAAGGAAATCTCCATTTTTTTTGTCTAATGGAGGGTGTAAAAGTTTGTTTAGGAATATATGTGACCATACCAAAGGAAAAGTCCATCAAAGAGATATTGTTTCTAAACAACCATATTTGCATTAAGAACCAAACACCATGTTTAGAAATGGCTAGAATGATTTGTACTGTTAACCTGATTAACCTGTGCTGTTAATCAGAACCTGTCAAAATTGTATCAACTGATCCATACAGCTATAAGTATTGGTTTTCTTTTTCCAACAAGGCTGGATCAGTTTCTATGCCTTTGGAAGTGTGGAGAGCTCTTCCACTTCAAATTTGTCCCCTGGTCTTAATTTCACATATTTTGGGGGTCAAACTGTGTTCCTCAACAGTTTCATTCCATCAAATGTGTCGGCAGACATGTGGAGGCTGACAGCACTGTATGGTGGGTCACTATTTATACTGCCACTGAGAGTTATAATAGTTTTGGGTTGCAGGATATGGGAGGATGAGAATGGTGGCGGCCAGACTGAAACTGTACGACTGGTGATGGTGGAAATAAACACAAAATCAACAAACCACACCAGACGGGTTTTTTTTTTCTCAGCCATTTTATCATCTGTCTGGTCACTTAGAAGAATCTGGGGTGGAATGCACAAAATTGAAATATTTACAGACCAAAAGTTTTTCGTGAAAAGCTGTTTTTCTTTTTAATGGTTATTGAAAATTGGTGTCCTTAAAAATAAAACACTTCTGAGTACACCACATATTGCAATTAATTTAACAGTGTGAAAACACTTCCAATGGCAAAAACCTGTACAAATATCAAGATTCATCAATAATTTAAAGGAAAAATTCTAATCCTAATTTTCAAAATGGGTCAGAACACCAGCTGATCACCAGGGTGATTTAAAGTGAAACCGTAAGACTACTCTCCATCAAATAAACAATTTCTTTATATCAGAGTCATACTACAAATGTAGCCTTTGCTAGTTTGTAGCCTGGCAATTTCACTGCATTTATTAGGATGCTGTACATGTAATTACACTTGATGCAGGTTTTAGTCTTCAGAAAGCAGCCTGTGGAAGTGGTCAGTTCTCTTCTTTAAGACATTTCTGAAGTCATCCTGAAAACAGAAAAAAAATGTTTTCAGTTATGATTAACTTGTTTTTTTTATTAATACAGCAAGTAGAACAAAATAAAATATGAATTAATTTAATTTAAATTTTGTCCCAAAACCTGCCCCATCCTTCAATAACAGCCTTGCTATAAAGATTCACAAAATCCTTGCTGAATTGTACCTGTTTGGATGCAACACTAGTTTCTAAGGATGCAGACCAGCAGGTGCTTCACACAGTCAGAAACAGCACAAGGTGCGACTTTCCCATATCTGACTCTACTCTTAATTCACCTTTAATCTTTAATTTATACAGTTAAATATGCAAAAGTTATTTTACAATTTCTGTACCTGAAAACTAATGTTAGACCTACAGAAAGGCACTGTTTATTTTATTTGTATCTTTGCTCTATTGTATTTTTTGTGCTGTTGCTTGTAGTTAGATTATTTGTTCTTATTTTCTTTATTTTTTTATTTGACCGTAATCCTTAGTTCCCAGAACACAGCACATCCCGAATCATACTGAAACCATGACCCTAATACCTAGATACAAACTGAACCATAAGAAATTTGAACCATTGCACCCCAACTGGATACCAAATAGATGTTTCTGCTGTCTAAATGAAGGTGATCATACTATGAAATTCAGACAACTTAAAGGGTTAGTTCACCCAAAAATTCTGTCAGTAATTACTCACCCTCAAGTTGTTCCATCCCTGTAAGACTTTCGTTCATCTTCGGAACACAAATTAAGATATTTTTGATTAGGGCTGTCAACTTTAGTCGATTAGTCGACTAATCGGTCGATGCCGTCTTGGTCGACTGACATTCTTATTGGTCGACCAGTTGCATTTTTTTTTTTCAATGATTTCCTCCTTGATATTTATTCATTTATAAGCAGTTATTTATTACTGTATTCTAAATATAATTAGCCTATGTTTTGTCGCCAACTTTAAAATGCTTTAATTTAGGCTATTTTACATAATACACTCGGGAACCGCACCTGTGGCTGGCTGCGCTGCTGCTTTGCGCTCGGTAAGGGATGCTCTATTCATTCAGTTAGAACGCTGCTTGTTTTGGCTTTAGTCGACAAAATGTCCAGGAAATCTAAATCTTTTGTCTGGCTGCATTTTAAAACAAAGATGACAAGACTGTGGAGGGAGGCGATCGCGTTGCTCCATTATGAGCGCGCAAGTCGCGCGCCTACATTTGAAATCGAACTTGAACGCGCAAAAGACGTGAGCAGCCTTTTAACGGTTATGTCATGCTGACTCAATAGATTGCGTTTTCTTAATGTTTTCGTTTTTATTTGTACACTTGACGCATTTGAAAATAGCCTAAATAATGCAACAAAACGAAAATAAACCTATACGTGGTCCTACAGCCTATTATTAGGATTGTTTAAGTTATTTGGGTTTTTTGTGTGTTGTTTAAAACGCCTTGATCGTCAGGACGAAAGTTAACCCATAGCTTTGAAAGTAAAGAAGAATATAAAGCCTGTATAAACGAGAGCTTTTGTTGGGATTTTTCATTATGTGGCAGATAGCAGTTCTATTTTTTGCAGCGTGTGGTTTGGTCAGGTGCGCGATCGATTGTGACTGTTACTATAGACCGAGGACAGAGCTCTTCACTTTTTGCAGTTAAAAAATCACTTAATTTTCAAAGAATTGTATTATTATTATAGTTTTATTTATTTGTGATGTTTTTCGTTGTTGTTTTATAAATGCTCAATGACAATTGTTTAAAAAATGTTTAATCAAAACATCACGTTTTTTTTTTTTTTTTAGTCGACTAATCGTTGCGCAGGACTCGACTTTGGTCGACTAAGAATTTCTTTGGTTGAATACAGCCCTATTTTTGATTAAATCTGAGAGCTGGATCACACCTTCAAAGGCATCTATTGTAATAGATATTTGCCGGCCCAGAAAGTTATTAAAGACATTGTTAACAGTCCAAGTGACTACAGTGGCTCAACCATAAGTTTATCAAGTGACGAGAATACTTTTTGTGTGCAAAACAAAAACAAATATAACGTCTTTATTCAACTATTAATTTTTTTCTGTGTGGGCCTCTGACGTGAGTTCATCTAGTGTAACAGTGCAGCGCTTCTGGGTTTTACGTCAGAATGTAGGCTCACTATTGACCGACGCTGGTCGTGTGTGATGATGGCCAAGTCTCGTCACTTGATAAACTTAAGATTGACTATAGTAATTTGAAATATTTTAACGATGTCTTTAATAACTTTCTGGGCCGGCAAGTTTCAACTACAATAGAAACCTATGGAGGAGCGAGAGACAGCTCTCAGATTAAATATAAAATATTTTAATTTGTGCTCCGAAGGTGAAAAGGTCTTACAGGGTTGGAACAACATGAGGGCGAGTAATTACTGACAAAATTGTCCTTTTTTTGGCTGAACTAACCCTTTAAGATTCAATAAGTGGCCTTTTTGATCTGGATAGGACATTTGGAGTTCTGAAAATTGCAGTGTGTTTTATGCTATCTACTTTTAATTTAAAACTTCAAGGAACACTCACCGCATGCACTAGTTTCTCCATGTATGGAATGAGCTTTTGCAGCTCACGGTCCTCTTGATCTCCAATCCAGCTCTTTATGGGAATCATATTCATCAGCTAGAAAAAACAAACACATATCCAATAAGAACATGTCACTGATATACTGGTTAAACCTAGCATGGCACTATTCTGGATAAACTGACAATCACCCTTTTTTTGTTTATTTCAAATAAAGATCACTATTCTCCCCCGTTTCTTAATAGACAACTAAATATATATATATTACTGCTATATAACCAAATATTAATTACTGACGACTATTTATAATGGTTTAGCCCTCTGGGGTCTAGGGTGTTTTTGGGGTCCTTGAGATGTTTTGACCTGCCCTGACATTTGTGCTTTTTCAGTTGCTTATAAACATATTAATGGCACAGGTGAAATTACGCTATTTAGCACAAACAGGGCTATTATAATATGTGAGCAACATGTATGTACATGTTTGTATTTTTGAGAGAATATTGTTTATACATGACTACTGAAAAAACTAAAAATGAAAGTTTCTGAAATAAGGCCACAAAACACAAACCAAATATCTGTCCACAAGACTTGACTAATGGATGTTGTCGCCAAGAGTTTTTGCTTCAAAATGATCAGAAAATCATTCTGCCTAATCATTTACATAAAACAATAGATTGTTTTAAATTGTGAAAAACATTTTTTTTGTATGGAAAGGCAATATGCGAATGGGTGTGAATGGCCTAACCTCCTCATGAACAATTAGGTGGTTCTCACCTAAGAAGACAAAGACCCGCATAATGAGCCTTTCATTCAGGTGTCACACAAGAAAGAATGCAAGGACTATATATATTAGTGGTGAGCCGTTATTGGCGTTAACGTGAGACGCCAATAAAAAAATTAAATAAATAAAATATCGGAGTTAATCTATTCTCAAAGTTGGGTTGGGAGGTGGGTCTACACTACGCAAGCTATGATGACTTTCTTGGGGTTTTTTTAAGGGGAATTATTTGTATCTTAATTTTAATCAGTGTTTCATCAACCAATTGCCTGGATTTAATAATTAAGAAATAAATATAGCAGAAAATAGATAATCACGACACAGAGGTGCCGGCGCATGAGACACAGCATAAAAGGTAAGCCTACTTGCCTCAGAAGTATAATGTGTATAATGTAGGGAATAGTTACGAAAATGGAGAGAAAATATAAATCGGGTGGATTAGAAGGAAAAGAACGAGATAGTGTTTGTGTTTTATTTAACATAAGCTTACTTGGCTCAACAAGTGACACATTATTACATATGCATTCATCAGATATATTACTTTTTTTTACAGTTTTAATTTTAAAATGACTTGGTAGCAGATAGCCCCATGATGAAGCTCCGCCCCCACTGTACTGAGAGTCTAACTCTGCCCCTGCCCATCTTACAAACTACCTGCCAGGTTATTTACTTGGGTAGCATACATATTCTGAATGCCTTTGGCAGAATTCAAATGAGCCATTTTAATGTAGATTAATTCAAAGATTACAGTGAGATTACTCTAGATTAAAAAATTTATCTATGCCCACTAGGGCTGAACGATTATGGAAAATAATCTAATTGCGATTTTTTTAACCAATATTGCGATTGTGATTTAATATGCGATTTAAAAAAAAAGTTATTTACTTTCTGTATTAGTCGACAAAGACAAGCAATAAGTTCCCCAGTATCCCAGTAGGGATGGGAATCTTTAGGCAGCTCATGATCCGATCTACTTTTTTTTATTAATTAATCTTAATAACACTTAAAATATGTATTTAATTACATGTGTAAAAACACATACTTTAAAAAATTATTATAAAAAATCATTTAATTAAACCAATGTTTAGAATTTTAAATAGGCTTTATAAAATAATATATCTTCAAAATATAAAAGCTAGTAAATAAAGAAAGAACAAAAAAAAAAACATTACAAGCAATAAAGAAATAGTGGTCTCTGTATTTAAAAGTAGGCTGTCTGAATGTTTATCAGTCAAGAGCTGGAGTGATTTCCCCTTCAGTTTAGATATGATAAGCTGCATTCACACTAATGCACATATCTCTTGAAAAAATGTGGTTTGTCCTGTTGGTTTAAGAACTGACCGTGTTTAGATTAATTTCGCGTCATAAAAGCATTTTGACATGCACGTTTATGCACATTTAACCAATGAGTCGCTCACGGCCGCATGCACGAGCGCTCTTTACAAAGCGTGCGTCAGTATATTAAAATGAAAGCAGCCTTCTCTGTGATTTTCATAGTTTTAATATAGGCCTAAGCCAACTGCATTCCAAAAGACATAAAAAATGCCTCTGTGAAGCATTTGTAAGGAAAATTCCCGCGGGAGAGAACGCGCACTGCAAGAGCATCAAGCAAAGCGGCAAAACCTGAGCAAATGAAGCCTGCGAATGTCCTTGTAATTCGGTTCAACCCCGAACTTTATGAAATATAGTTTCGGAAGCTTCGAGCGATGTCGTGTGTGTGAGAGAGAGAGAGAGAGAGAGAGAGAGAGAGAGAGAGAATAGAAGCAAGCAGAACACGGTTCGTTTCAGAAGCACGCGCAGCGTCATCGCGCATCTGTGTTTAAAAACTAAGCTCAGACTCGATTCTGAAATTCTCTGAATCGATCCAGGATTGTTGGGGAGAAAATAGATAACACAATATCACATACATTAAAAATAAACTGTTCTTTTCTGAACGCCAGGCCGCGTAGAGTGGCAAGTTGATGCTTGATCTTGCAGACTGCTCCCGCGTGTCACGTGACAGTGTAATCGCAGCTCTTGCGATTACAAAATCACGTTTCATCATATCGCGATTTTATTGCAAATGCAATTAATCGTTCAGCCCTAATGCCCACCATGAATTATATATATATATATCCCCTTTCGCCTTCAGAACTGCCTTAATTTTACATGGCATGAAGAATTTATTCAACAAGGTGCTGAACGCATTCTTTAGAAATGTTGGCCCATATTGATACTAGGATAGCATCTTGCAGTTGATGGAGATTTGTGGGATGCATTTTGAATGTTCCGGTATGATTTTGTCAAAGGAATTTAGGAATAAAACCACATGGTGGTTTGAATCGAAAGTCGCATTCTTTTAACAATTAATCATGCAGCTCTAGTTAGACCTGATGTTTAACAAACATTCACCGATAAAAGATTCCTGCACACTAGGTGGTAAAGGCAAACATACGTGGTATGGGAAGGTGTGGGGGGCGTTGTCCAGGATGACAGTCTTCGACAAGTCTCTCTCCAGAACAGTCAAGTCTTTAATGTAGTGTCCCAGCACACAGGCACAATCATCCTGATACAAACGATGTCTTAAAAATAAAAAAATAAAACACAGAATTACATTATCATGGTTCCTTCAAGGTAAATGAGTAGTGAGTTATGAGACAGGTTTCTCCAGATTCTGACTGGGCATCATCTCCAGGACAATTTTGGGCATATGGAAGTGTAAAATGTCTCACCTAAAGAGCTTTTTATTAGGGTCCAATATATCTACGATCTTCTCTGCATATTCCTTTTTTGCAGATGTGTAAACAAACATCTGGAACAGAAAAAGACAGACCAGATTTATTAATAGATTTTCTCACTGCTGGTGACAATTAAAGCCAGCCATAACAATTTTTTGGCAAAAAAACAATAAATAAATGTGATATATCTGTTCAGAGTACTAATGTGTAAAAAATAAATAAAAAAAAGACACATGGACTGAATGAAAATTACTTTCTGACAGTAGGTGGCATTTATGGAAAAGTAGCCAATAGGATTTCTATGAAGTTTGGAAAAGTATTTTCAGGTCAGGATAAGCTAATATATATATATAAAAAAATCCTTCGTTGTCTAAAATAAAAAATTAAGATTTTCAAAATATATATTTTTAATTCAAGCAAAGCATTTTTATGACAAAAGCTTAGCGACTGTTCAATGACTCTCGAACACGTTGCGTGAATTCAAAGTGCACATTTATATAAAACTATTTGTATTTAACATAAACGAGCCTCTTTTTACCTACACTAAACTTATATTTACTCAATTGTCACTCAAACCAGAAACAGATAAAGCAGCTAACAATCATCCAACTCAGACTGTGCTTTGCTGATTCTATAAACCACGATTACAGTTTTAGACCAATGGTTCAGAGGTGAATATATATGCAGGTTATAAAACATTTTAAGTTTCTTCTCATCATGCAAGTGCATGTTGTCACTTTGAGAAAACCAATGAAATAAAATAAAAAACACAGAAGAATGGTGATGACTGTGCTATAAACCAATTATGATGCTAAAATAATGCTGTATGAACCATTATACTAACCAATAGGGATCGGTATCGTTAAGGTTTTATCGGTCTTACTACTCTTACCGATACCGCTTATCGATCCGGTACTTTAACGGTATTCTTATCGGTTCTTTTTTTTTTTTTTTTAAGAATTAAGAACATAATTAAACTCTATATTTTGAAATGTAAAATAGAAAAAGCAAAATGAAGAAAAATATACTTTTGTTATGCAGCAATGTGCAGGCTTTTTTTGTTTTATATACAAAAAGGAGGCATAAGAAAAAAAACAAGTACAAACACAAGAATACAATTAATCCAAGATACAAATTATATACAAAGTGCTTTAATTTCAGGAAGGTGTACTAACATATCTTTTCAGGTAATTGTTTCTGTCTGAAAAGAAACCTAATTTAGTAATCAAATATAAAATATCACTGTATAGTTTATCATAGATAGATTAATGCTCATTAAATCTAAAGTTACTCATTCAAAAGCTGTGAGTGATTTTCTCTGCCTTTTGTTGTTTGATTTGCATTAATGGCTGAATCGTCAGCAGGTTTAGGCTATTAGACTGCTGCCCCTTTAAGACCGAGAGCAAATCTAATCGGTAACTGAAGCACCATCATTTTCTCCCTATTTTTTACGTGTTTAAGTGAATAAACTGTGTTTAAGTGAATCTCAGAGCTGGTCATTTTGACATTTTTATGTATATTTGATAGTTAAGGACACACGAAGCCCAAAGTATAGGCTATAGTGAAGTAGGTTATAAGGAAGTTAAGCTGGACAGATCATGCGTCTTGTTTTTTAACGGTTTTATCTCAAATATCTTCTTTTTACAGTCTTTGGAAGCCGAAATACAAAATATATTAGAATAATATCCCACATCTAAAGTGTAACCACGTTGAATGTTTAGTTCTGTCCTCATTGTCACTGATTAAGCAACTGTCGTGTTGAGCGTGCTGTGGCTTTGCGTGAGAGATCGCTCTCTCTCTCTTCTGAACTGCGAATTTCAAATTTGCATCACAGACAAATGGTTTAATTAAAATATAGTTTATATATAGAAAAGGCTGCCGATATAAACATGTTCAAGATAACGTCTTTATAGGAATGATAAATAATTTCTCCAGTACCGACAGCAGAACCGATAATGTCCGAGCTTATCGATACAGCGGTCTTTCAAAATTCAGTACCGGGGCCCGTTTAATACCGGGTTTCGGTACCCATCCCTACTAACCATGGTCTGAAAAATCTGGAGAGGTTTGGAATTTTGAGTTTAGAAAAGTATGGAATTTTGAAATGGAAAATGTGAAGGAAGTGGGAACCCTGACGCTATGTAACTGCATTTCTGGCAGCCATTTAGTTATTTTGTATTCAGTATTATCAAAGAATTGTATGTTGTTGTTTTTTATGAAACAAAAGCACCCTTGGGCTTGTGAACATAATGCATATCTTATTGGTTGGCCACCTTTATTTACAAAGAGATTAGAACACCTCTCTGAAAAAAAAAAATCTGTCACAATAACGACATGCAAACGTCTGTACAGGGCTGAGCAGAAGCATAAACAGCTGTAAATTTTCTGTTAAACTCTTGATTGAGTTTTTAGGTTCCTTGCCACTGTTGCCTTTGGCTTGCTCAGTTGGGGATATCCAAATTGATTAACCAATCAGTAATACCCTTGATCAGCTCTACCAAACGTGGATGTTTTTCCACTAAGAAAAGATTGGTACTGTGAAGCTCCTTTGATGCAATCTATATTGTGAAAAGCGCTATATAAATAAATATACTTGACTAAATTGAAATTAAAATGTTTAACTGAACTAAATTCTAGCACCAGACATTAATCCGTCAGTGTTTCAAAAAATCATCCTGAACACTGTCAGTTATCACAATGTTTACCTCAAAATGTTTGGTCATGGCTTGTAGAAACTCTTTCACATATGGTCGGAGGATCACGTAGACCTGTGAAAGCATGTTTAGTTAATCGCATCACACTTCAAGAACAGCAGAATTCCCAAACTTTTTCATGATAGTCAGAGTATGTTAACCATTATTCCAAGAAATGCATGTATTGACACTTTTCCACTCCATGGTATGACTTGGTACAACTAGGCTCGCTTTAAAATCGTGCAGTGTGATTTCTGGATTTTTTTTTTTAGATTATGTCTCTCACAGTGAACATGCACCTACGATGACAATTTCAGACCCCTCCATGATTTCTAAGTGGGAGAATAGCAGGGTGTTATATCGTTACAACCCCACTCCGTTTGCTATTACACTGCAGTTTTGTACCGCTTCATAGTGGTTAGGATTATAGACTGATCTTTAAAGCTGCATCGCCGCCTCATCTACTGACCACAATACAGTCATTTCTTTTTTTAAGTTGTGTGTGAAAGCAAGTCTTTTAAAAAAAGTTGTGCAAACAAATGATACTGCTGTGGCTGTTGCTGACTATTTAAATCTAGCGGGTTTGGTGTCTTGTGTTGCAAATACAATGGGTGGTAGTGACGATTCTCTGACTGTCAGTCACAATATATTGCAATACTAAATCATATGTTATGTTTATACATAATATGCATTATGGATAGTTACAATATGTATTGTGTAAAAAAAATAAAGTTTATTATAGTTTTAGTGTCAGTACTACATTAAACTATTATAGATACATTTGAATATAATGAGTTATCATGCAATGGGGGAATATTTGTGGGTCCTGATAATGTCAAATGTCTTATTTTACCAGTAAAAAGTGGCCTACATTATTTTAAATATATCTAGTCAGTGAAAGAGTGCAAGAATATTGGTATAAAATAATTCTGTTTTCAGCTTCAGAATCATGAATATTTGATATACCTAATGTCTGATATACCTAAACATTAAGTAGATGGAAAAACTGAAAAGCTGTTAATATATGACTATATATAAACAGTTATATGATTCAAATTTGCCTTCGAGATCGATAGAGACGGACATGGTCAGAGCCCGCCAAAGCTGGCAAAGCAATTTTTTATTTAGCAGTTCATCATGTGACACTTTAAAGGTGCAATACCTAAGATCTAGATGCCGCTAGAGGGCGCTACATTCAAAACAACAACAACGGCTTTGCTTGATGACGCCGTGGAGGAACGCGGAATGATGGGAACTGTTGTTTTCAACTCCACCGTGGATAAATCAGTCAGACGGGAATCGAAAATTAGTTGTCATGGATGAGGTAAAGTTCGATTTCTATAAACGTTGCGTTTAATGACATGCTTGTATTTCATTAAACTGAAATAACCGTGCAAGAAAAGTCAGGTTTAAAAGTAAATTAGTTATCACAGATGTTACTGTACGAGTCACTGGACGAAGCTATGGTGGAGAGGGTTTGAAGGGGCAGGTCTCTCGCAAGGAGTTGACGTGGTTGGCCCTCCTTGGTAACTTTATAAAAATAAAAAATCAATTTAATGTCAGTTATCCCAACCTGCAAGAATTCATTTCCGGGAGGTATATTTCGATAACAAGATTGTGGGGGTGGGAGGGAAGGCTAACTTTCGCGTTCGCGAGGCACAAATGCAAAGTCTCTCCCTCTGTACAGTGCACGCGCAGCGCGCTGTATGTTATGCGCGCAGTATGTCTCGCTCTAACATTATATCCCGGGAGATTTGAACTAATTTGCGGGCATCAGGGAAACGCTATCAATATGCGGGAGATCCGGGAGACTTGGGATGTCTGCAATGTACATTTGACACATCTTTTCATGTCGTGTAAGTATTCAACCACAGCTACAGTTTCACAAAATTAACGTTAAGGGGGTCGCACACCGGACGAGAAGCTGCAGCGCCGCGTTGCACCACATAATTATTCGAACACATTATTATCTATAAGTGTACACATACCGGCGGCGCCATTCGGCGTCTGTCCGCGGCGCCCAGCAACGTTTCAGGACCGTGTTCAAAACCCTGCTGCGCCACAGAGCGCCATTTACATAGTTTTATATAAAATTGTAATTATTTTTGCCTCAAACCGTTGCTAATGGATCCTGACTTTGCCCTATGGTGCAATATCTATGCATTTAGTTTTGCATTCATTTACAGAAATCAGCTGCTTGAATGACAATTACTGATTATTATTAGATTTTTCACGTGAGATTCTCAATTCATTCTGTGAACGGATGCTCTGAGGTAAAGTTTTCAGAATGCAGACTCAGCAACGATTGTATTTAATTGTACAGTACAATAACATAGAACAGACATTATCTTCATTTTCTGTCATTAAACATAACAATATTGCTGGCCATACACTGATGAGAAAGTGCGCGTCCGGTGTTCGATAACGTTACTGGAGTTGTCCTAAACGTGACGCGGCGCTTCTCGTCCGGTGTGCGACCCCCTTTACAGCCAACAGTTAACATTCCGAGAATAAATGAAAAGAATATATGTGCTCCATTCCATAACAAATGCGCGAAACAAGCTGCCGTTTGATAGGCGCTAACGCACAACTACAACTACCGCATTTGTCCAGGACTACACGTAGTAAGAGCGGAAACCGAGGTAAGCGGATATGACGCGATTGACTCGCGACTCCCAGCTCACCCCTGCTGACACGTGCCGTTTCCTTGGTTAAAATCTCAATTTTCTCGCGATTTAAACATTGTTTGAAACATTTGGAATATTGTGAGTTATCATCTTTACTAAATATATAACACTGGCCTTGTGATTTTGGGATATTTTAATGCAAAAATCTTAGGTATTGCACCTTTAAACGTTCTAATCACACTGTTGTGATTGTACATGTCATAGAGTTAATTCAAATTTCACCGACCTTGTACTTGTGATCTTGAAAGCGGGTACTGAAGGTGTATTCTGCATCAGAAATCACATTGAGTGAACTGAACACGAGCGTTTCATCCTAGAATCGTACAAAAACAAAATCCAAAGAATCAAAACAGTTGTTTCTAAACCACATCAAATTAGTGCACTAGTCAGCTTTTCATTTACCTATGGCTCTGTTTAAACCTGGTATTACACAAGTGGAAGACGCTAAATACAAATGTAAGTGAGGTCTAAATGTTATGAGCTAGTCAACTTCCAGAGGTAGTCGAAAACGCATTTGACCGGATTGCTTTCACAGTGTAGTTGCTGATAGACCCTTCCCTCGAACAATATGAGTCTCCCTCGTCTACTTGTAATCCGATTGACCAAAACACATCTTAAATACCAGGTGTACACTAGGGCCTAGTTGTTAAAGCCTCTCTCTCAACAAGGGAGTGCTAATGGTCCATCTGATTGAATTAATGGCCCTGCCATTAACCTCCAACAGTTTGGAATCATTCAGTCAATGAATCGCATGCCAATTCAATCAGTTCAGTGACAAATGTTGAGTTGACCATAGGGGTGAGACGGTTATTATATAACCGTGAGACCGGCGGTTAAACTCTAAGAACTCTATAACCGCCAAAACCATGTTATTACATTTTTTTAGCATAAAGAATGTTTAAATACTTATATCAGCTTACGAGGGAGGCGGAGTTAGTGGTGCTTCGGAGGCTGCTTCTGCTGGAGACGATTCGGGAGAGGTCGGATCCCTTTTACCGATCAGAGCGCACGTTGACATGGAGTAAAGCCTTGTTTATAGACGAATCCGGCGAAACTACCGGAAGTAAGCGGGCGCCATTACTGAGCTGTTGCTGGGTAGCGTTGCGCCATTGCCTCCTATTGTTTTAGTTGCAACTTGCGTCCACTGGAATAAACATCCCGCGATTTACGACTGTCACTAACGTTACAACGTTACCCCTTGTATAATGTCGAGTGGGTAAACAGTTTCCGTTATAAATTGTTTCTATGGTGGCAGTAAAATTTCAATTTTGAAGAGAAAACACTGTGAATACCCCGGGTCGACTGCCCCTGTCTGGTGCCGTACGGTTTACACAGATTTCCTGGGCGAGTACAAGACGCGGACATTCGCGTATAATAACAATTATTTAATGACATAATGAAAAAAAAATTAATAAATATGTGATATAGTGATCAGCAAAATCTCCTCTCTTGCTATTTTTTCTATTCAATTAACATGCTATGGTCATTAAATGGCTTTCCTGAGCTAAATGTAACGTTATGTGACATAATTGTTCTCCCGCTGTTATATTGACCTCTTTCCATGGTTTAAAAACACTAATTGGTCGATATTATGTATACTTTCTAGCTGCAACGTTACCTTACCCTTGCCCGTTGCAATGTGAAAATGAGATAAATAATGGACACAAAGGAAAAACATGAATTTGTTTATTTGATTTCATTATTTATTGTTGCCAAATGGACAGATCTTTTTTATAGTTTCCTCGTTAGCAAACGTTAGCCTAGCTAGCTTGCCAACTTGCCAAGCTATTTTCATAAATAATCTGCAAGATCAGTTGTACCTTCATCTGTGACTGGAGGCCACTGTCTAACATCATCAACCCAACAAGTCATTCTGCCTGGCAGTAGCTGTCATCGAGGGTGCTTTCGCGTTATCATCGAGGTTTGTTTACATACCGGTGCACATGTCTATGCCGGTGTAACAGCTCAGTAATGGCGTCGCCACAAGATGGCAGCCTACACAGAACGCTCGTCGGATTCGTCTATACTTGACACGTCTGTTTCTTTTACCGTCTATGGACAGGCAAGACCTCATTTCGCTTGGCTGTGTGCAAGGCTTTTTCTGTAATAGCGCGTGGCACCACATCCGAGGATGAACGACTTCAAGCTGAATCTGCCCGAGCATGTACGTCAGCACACCGGCACCCAGTTTGCGCGTTTAAATTGCAGTTCATTACATAGTTTTTTTGGTAAAGGTTTTGTTTACTGTGTGTGATTAATTTAAAACAAAGATAGTATTATAGATAGTAGTATTACAAAGATAGTTTTGGTACTTTAGCTTATTCACGATATCCCCCAGAGTTACATGTCCATACACGCCTTTTTCATCTCCGTGCGTGAGGTAACTCTGTCTGACGCACCCACCGCTAGCCTAGCTTAGCACAAAGACTGGATGTAAATGGATACAGCTAGCATACTAATCCCAATAAGAGACAATATTACACAAACATTTTCCTATTTACATGTTGTGATTTGTATAGTCACAGAATGTACAAATAACAAGGTCGTATGAGACACAGACATGTTTTAAATGTATAGAAATTGGGAACTATATTCTCAGAAGCCGAAGCACTACTGCTTGGGCGGAGTGATTGCCGCAGCACCCGAGACGCACCGTGGTGTGGTGCACTTCGCAATTTGTGCTAAGCTAGCCTGGCGGTGGGTGCGTCAGCATATGGCAAATAAGCTTAAACGAAGGAACCAACGAAATAAGCTTAAAGGATAATTCCGGTATTAAACACCTTAAGTCTATTTTGTAGTTTGTTTTGAATGAAATAGACTGGTGGACTTATAAATTTTGAAAATGGGTCCTGTCTCGACTTTTTTAGAATCGCCTGTGACAGCTTTAGACAGGCTGTCTATGGGCATGCACAAACATGTCCATAAAACAACCCTTAACGTTCATTTTCAAAACTGTGCAACTCACCGAGTGGTTGGTGGTGTTCGTTGATGTTCTGAAACAAGTAGCCTAGCGAAATACTGTTTCTGTCGTGTTTTATTTGTCATTTTTTTAAAATCGCATTGATGTCTGCTGGAGGACTCAGTGCTCGATGATATTACTGCGCTAGCTACCGGAAAAGGAAAGGGGTCTGTTTACATTTGGTTGTAGTCTTTTCGCTCGGTTCTCCGTCTCTCCGAAGGCTAGCGTGAGCAGAGCAACTGTGCTCCCGGACTTTTTTTACGATGCGCTAGACACCGTGTTCCGTACAGCGTCCTGGTTGTCGCCATCAAGTGGTCGGGAGTGTGCTAACGCTTCAGACTCAAATATCGAGCGGAAGTTTATACGCGGTTGTGAGGTATCTGAAAAAATAGTTCCACAATAGCAAACAACACGGATTGAAAGCATACATTGCGCTGATATATTTGTTTTTAATCATCAACGAACACCACCAACCACTCGGTGAGTTGCACAGTTTTGAAAATGAACGTTAAGGGTTGTTTTAAGGACATGTTTGTGCATGCCCATAGACAGCCAGTCTAAAGCTGTCACAGGCGTTTCTAAAAACAGTCAAAGTCAAGACAGGACCCATTGTCAAAATTTCTAAGTCCACCACTCTATTTCATTCAAAACAAACTACAAAATAGACTCAAGGTGTTAAATACCGGAATTATCCTTTAAGTCCCAAAAAGTCGGAGTGTTCCTTTAATGGAAAGCACATTCAATTATAGTCATCTTGCTGTTAATTTTAAACAAACATAGAGCAAGTAGCTAATCAGTGTCTGCTCGTTTATTCAAACTGTTGCCCTATGATAACAGACGAACTCACCAAATCGAGCACCAGGGTAGCTGCAGGTGTGCTCCTCGTCTTGGGCGGAATGTCCCGCACTGTTGAGACAGGCCTGGACTGTTGTGAACGGTTCGGAATGTTCTTAATGAATGTGAAGCTGATACAAAAACAGTGACAACAATCAGATTAAACCACAGATGAATCACTTCAATCAGTCTGAATTGTACAAGCCACAAAAACTCCTTTGTAAAAGAGACTCACGGGCTAAACACTTCCTCATTCTCCTCATCCTCTGAAAGAGGGCTGGCAGCGCTGTAGCCAAACACACAGTGTTCAGGACTGAAAATGGGACTTGTGTTTGGATGCTCACCTATTAAAAAAAAAAAAAACTACTGTTACAACAAATCAAACAACAAGGTATCTGGGAAGTCATTACTTATTTAGTTTAAAAATACAGAGTACAGACAAAATGTTTCATAATAAATGTCAGACGCATCCAAAGAGGTTTGCATTGAATATAGATTAGGGCTGTCAAACGATTAAAGGATTAGTTCACTTTTGAAAAAACTTTTGCTGATAATTTACTCACCCCCATGTCATCCAAGATGTCCATGTCTTTCTTTCCTCAGTCGAAAAGAAATTAAGGTTTTTGATGAAAACATTCCAGGATTTTTCTCCTTATAATGGACTTCCATGGGAACCAGGTTCAACCGAGGTCCAAACGACAGTTAATAACAGTTTCAGATGCAGCTTCAAATGTCTTTAAACGACACCAGACGATGAATAAGGGTCTTATCATGCGAAACGATCGGTTATTTCAACGCTTATTCCAAAAATGTAACTTTTCTAAGGACAAATGCTAGCCTTTCTCCATTCTGTGAGGCGCGTTTGCAACGTCACGTAATACGTAATTACGTTCAAAAGGTCACGGGCGACGTAGTCAGAAGTACAGAGTCAGAGTGTTTACAAGTTGAACGCATAGGTTGAACGTGAAAACTAACTCAAACGCCGTTTACAAAAAAGGAATTAAAAGGTAAAACAACGATGTCGGACGATTTTGATTCTGTACTTCCGGCTACGTCGCCCGTGACCTTTTGAACGTAATTACGTATTACGTGACGTTGCAAACGCGCCTCACAATATATTACAAGGCTAGCATTTGTCCTTAGAAAAGTTACATTTTTGGAATAAGCTTTGAAATAACCGATCGTTTCGCATGATAAGACCCTTATTCATCGTTTGGTGTCGTTTAAAGACATTTGAAGCTGCATCTGAAACTGTTATTAACTGTCGTTTGGACCTCGGTTGGACCTGGTTCCCATTGAAGTCCATTATAAGGAGAAAAATCCTTAATTTCTTTTCGACTGAGGAAAGAAAGACATGGACATCTTGGATGACATGGGGGTGAGTAAATTATCAGCAAAAGTTTTTTCAAAAGTGAACTAATCCTTTAATCGCGATTAATCACATCCAAAATAAAAGTCTGTGTTTACATAATATATGTGGGTGCACTGTATATATATATATATATATATATATATATATATTTAATGTTTTCATGTATATACTGTATATACTGTATGGTCATATATAATTTATATTATATATAAATAAATATTTTATATATAAATAATATGTTTTTCTTAAAAATGTGCATGTGTGTGTATTTATATATAAATAATATTTTTTTCTTAAATATGTGCATGTGTGTGTATTTATATATATTTATAAAACGGTTAGTTCGAATCCTTGATTTTGATTGGTCAAGAGCTGTGCTTTATTCACAATAAAACACAGCTATGACCGCTTCACCCAACGGTTCTATTGATCGCTGCGCAACACTGAGGTTCTATGTTGTTTTCATTTGAGCTTTCATGCATTTTACACATTGGAACGTTGTTGCTGTTCACGCTCAGGGACTATTTTTTTCTAGCGGAAGGAAGGCTTTTAGTAATTTTATTTCAAGAAAGTTGCACTAATACATTGTTTTTTACTTTAATATTGTGTAAGGTACTCGAGGCAAGTGCTGTATCATGAATAAGTAACGGCTGAAGGGGTTGCAGCCCTTCAGCCGTTACTTATTCACGATACAGCACAGCCTCTCATACCTTATTGCTTACATACAAAATAATTATACACAGTGCACCCATATATATTTTGTAAACACAAACTTTTATTTTGGATGCGATTAATCGCGATTAATCATTTGACAGCCCTAATATAGATGTAATACAAATCGTATATTTATAAAAAAAGAACAGTAAACATAAGTTTAGATGTAATACAAATCGTATATTTATAAAAAAAGAACAGTAAACATAAGTTTACAAGTGGTTAATAAAGGTCCCATGAAATGAAATTTTCACTTTCTGAGGTTTTAAAGTGAACCCCGACTAGTGTGGCATGCTGGCCATATAAGATTAACGTGGGCGTCAGCTATAAAAAGGTGATACAAAAACACTCCAAATGTTTTTGATTTTATTAAAAAAAGACAAAAATCCTGTGTGTTATTTATATAATGGAAAGCACATTCACTTATAGTTGTCTTGTTGTTAATTTTAAATAAACGTAGAGCAAGTCGCTAATCAGGGTCTGCTCGTTTATTCAAACTAAGTTGTTCTATAACAGACGAACGTTGCTCTGCATACGTCATCTCCTTCAGCGCTCTGATTGGTTTTAGGTCTATCCAATTGCGCCCAGAGGCATTTGAGCTACGTCCGTTGGTGACGCCCCTTTGGAAATGATTTGTCTATGAAGCTTTGCCAGACCATAACTCAGTTACGAACTAAGAATGGTCTGGTTTTAACCAGGCTAAAGGAGTTGATCATTGATTTTAGAAGAAATAAATAATTGATAGTACCAGTGATAATTAACGCTCAGAAAGTAGAGATTGTTCAGTCTTATAAATATCTTGGTGTCCATTTGGACAGTAAACTGAACTGGAAGAATAGTGAGGCTGTTTTTAAGAAGGTGCAATCAAGACTATTCTTTTTACAATATGGAGATTTCTCAGAGAATTGTGGCTAGTGTTTTGTTTTCTGCAGTGCTCTGTTGGGGATGTATTATCACTGCAGATGATACAAATTGGATTAATAAACTGATTAGAAAGGCTGGCTCAGTTATTGGCCTTAATCCTGATTCACTTGAGGTTACTGCTGAAAATGCAGATTGGTTGAGTTAATGACACATTTTGATTGGTTGAGTCCACGCAGCATTTTATTTCACCCATTTTTAAAAATCAATTTTTTATGGAGTTAAAAAATATGACCGATGGAACGACGACGAGGTTCAGGCGTCATTAAGCTTAAATTCAAAAGATGAAATCCAGGTCTTAGATTTAATTTAATTATTTTGCACTCATGATTTTTCTAGAGTGACTTTTATCACTGAATTTTCCACGAATCTAATTTATAATAGTGTTTTGTCATAGATTATGATCATATCATTTTTGCATTTGTTGTTTTTATGATGATGTTTAACACACAAAAGAGTAAATATAGCTGCGAGCAGCGATGGCGGGCCCAAGCCGGTGGCACCGCAACCCCGGTTCCTTTAGTTACCTAAAGGCACCCGGGTAGCGGTGCCGAAGGCTTTGGCCCTTTTATGATTAAATGTTAAAACGGCTTGCCATACTCTGTCATTTCGACTAGTCACAATTATGTTACAGATGTCTTAAATGATAATACAAACTATCCAAAATGTAATTACGAATAGACAGAAAGACGTTGTTGATATCTACAATGTTAATTCCGGACAGGCAAACCTAGCTTTTAAATGTTAAAAGGGCTTGCCATACAGGGACGTAGGCTCAGAGAGAGGCTCACCATATTCAAACCAAAATATCTGACTTCCTCTTGGTCCGAGCTAATGACTATGTATTAGAAAGTTGTCCGGCTTGAGGAGTACAATGTATATACCGATTTTTGTAACTGTAGATAAAACTAACAACCCCACTTTTGTCAAAAGGTGGCGCTATTTAGTCCTTGCACATTGCCCGTTTCTGAAACTTTGCACGTCTACTGGCTAATAAATGTGATGTATCTGTTGAGTTTCAAGCAATTTCAATTTCAATTTGACTGTTGAAAAGAAGTGCGCCGATTAGATACTCAGGATCGGTATCGGCTCTGACACTGCCATCTTTGACGAGGCTGATTCAAATTCTATATTGTGCATATACTATTCTGTTAGGCACAAAGGCACAAAAACTTTCTAAAGTACCATAAAGTTTTTGTGTACTGTATTATTAGTGTTCTGAAGCTATTATGTGATATAGAAATTAATATTTAAGTCATTAAATTCAAGAACACAAACTTTTCCCTCTCTGCGCCTGTCAGTCATTCTCCATTCAGCATTCAAACAGCACGTCACATTCGGTTACAGTCAATGATGAAACGATCTTCAATGATTCAATGTTAATCCTATTATACTGGATCTTTAAGATAAAGGTCTAAAGGTCTATATTTTCGAATGAAGAAACTTTTTCTTGCTGGACTTTATTGCTGTATTTTAATCGTGTTACTTTCTACCGGGTGTCGGACGCTGTCGGTTAGATCACAACACTAGAGTCAGAGCACTATAATTGTTCTTCACGCACACAGTAACTGAAATTTAAAACCTTTAAAAGAAAAGGCTCAATAAACTATTGCATAGATAGATAATGTATAATACACTGTTCATAAATATGTATTTCCTTTGTGCTTTGAACTTTTCAATACGGACTCAATGCGCTGTAACTTCATGTGGCTTCAAGCACATCATTCTCCGCTCGGGATGCACATAAGTGCTTTGTGCTGCACCGTATTGGAGCCGTAATATCATAATGCAGTGACGTAATGACAGATTATTAATTGCCTTTCAATTATATGTTGCTTTATAGCAGCCATGGCTATATTTTTTTTAATGATTTTTGTTATCTTGTTTTTCATGAATGTATTTTTCAAAAATAAGAGCAATGTGTATTATCTATTATTAATATGGTTTATAATAGCATTTTTGTCATAGATTATGACAAAGTAATCATATGATCCACCAGCGAGGAACCAGCAGAACAGAGTGAACATTCTTTCTGTTTAGTTCAATCCTACTTAATAGGAATTTATTTAAAATGCTCGCTCTACTCCACACCATTAATGTCTTGTGCGGACATCCGTATTTTGACTTTCGGTTTTAAGTAAGCGATTTAAAAGCTCCCAAGTCCCAGCGGAGTCACACGTTGATTAACCGGTGGGAATATACACAATAGGCCTACCTGATATTGAACACAAGAGGGCAGTATAGCACTACGTATGACTCAGATTATTATTTTTTTATGAATTTTACAACAATTCTGGCTGTTTTTGAACGTAAACACAATTCTTAAATGAAAAAAAA